TCATTGTCCAGCATTCAATGACATGAATATTTTTTTCTTTGTTTCTAATTACATTTTCCTGTTTTATTTATTTGCTTAGCTTCTGGAAGACATCTTCATTCACTTTTGGTTTCTGCGCTCTGTTAAAACAATTCGCACAAATTTAGCTTTTTCTAATTGATTGATTTTGACAAAGTGAATAATATATTCTGTGAATAATTCCAATGTCTTCCTGCCTTTTCAAAGTAATTAATATACCAGCGAAAGCAGCAGAATTAGCAGAAATTTGAACTAATATCACAGATTCCACTTCCCGCTCTCACATTATAGAACAATTTTCTTTGTTGCGTGGCCCTTCAGAGACGTTAAAAATCATGGCTCTCCACAGTTTCCTAAACTTTGTTCTGCCATCCATTTACTCAAGCTCGATAGGTTATGCGGTGATTTCCCTTGGCCTTTGGCCTTCAATATGTCCTGTGCGTATCAAATTTTCCAAGCCTTCTTTCCTCATTATGTACTTTAGAAATTTCAACTCACTTCCTGAAATTTTCAACTATCTTCCTTTTTCTTTCCATTTTCTCAAAAACTTCGTCGTTGCTTACATGTTCACTGTATGCTATTCTCAGCATCCTTCAGTAGAAGTGCATTTCGATTGCTTCATTCATAATGATTAATGTGTCATTTATGTTAATTTTATCTCAATCTCCTTCAGAATCTTGTTTTCAAATAGATAACGCACACTGTGTATACACTAGAAAATAGCATTAGTTTTTTTCGGAAAATAATGTCCGATTTTATAGTAAACCTTTTAATTGTGTTCTAATATATTATTAAAATAGTTGCCCCCAAACATACAACTTATTCCTAATGTTTAAAGTGTCATCTTTGCTAATTTTATATAAAATCTCCTTCACAGTTTTGTTCTCAAATACCTTGCGCACCGTGGGTATACACTAGAAAATAGTATTAGGTTGTTCGGAAAATAATGTCTGATTTTAGAATAAACCTTTTGTGTTGTAATATATTATTATAATAGTTGCATAAAAATATATTACTCATTGCTAATGACTAAAGGGTCGTCTTTGCTAATTTTATAGTAATCATCAGTATTCTGTTCTCAAATACTTGACGTATCCTATGTATACCTTTTGTCTTCCAATATATTATAATAGTTTCACAAATATATATTACTCATTCTTAAGAATTAAAGTGTCCTCTTGTAAATTTGATATCAATCACTTTCAGAGTTTAATTTATAGCATTATATAACCCTCTTGCGATCCTAAAATTTTTGAGGATTCTCAACCTGTACCTGTATTTTAGAATAAACCTTTTAATTATGTTCCAATTTATTATTTGTTATAATGTAATACACCTATTCTATTGATAATAGACTCTCCTACCTATAATAAGTAGGAGTAGTAGCAGTCGCTAAGTGGCTCGGAGAGTTGGTCAGTCAGTCGATGTCGGACGACCATTAGTCGGATACTAAAAGTATCTGCGACCACCACTAGATTTCTCTGCGTCATTACCTATTATATCAAGTTCCTAACGTTTTGTACGTCGAGCCTATTTTAGGACCGACTTAGTGAAATACAAGCCTCCACTGTGAAACTACTCTACAACATTATTGTAGTAGTTGCACAAAAATATATTTTTCATTTCTAATGGTTAAAATATCATCTTTTTTAATTTGATATCAATCTCTTTTAGAATTTAACTCATTAAGTTGTACAGAAAATAATATCTGATTTTATAATAAACCTTTTTTTATTGTGTTCTAATAAATTATTATAAGAGTTGCACAAAGATATATCACTCATTCCTCATCTTATATCAATCTTTTTAAAAATTTAGTTTAAAACATCATATATGATCTTTGAACATGAAAAGGTGTGTTTACTTTTTGTAGTTCACGATTGGTCATAATGCTTCTCAAATTTCTGGTAACATTAACACCACATGGGGTGAAGGCTCCATTTGAGATCAGAGTGTATTCTGAAATTCCGCAGTCGAGATAAGAGTCTTGAAAATGAATGTGGTAGAGGACGTTAATCTGAAATTAACAATCAAGATCTGTGACATTTTGTCAAACAAAAGCCACGTCAAAGGGTATCAGAAATTGGATGTCAGTAATTCAAGTTTATCAGTCAATTCTCAAGAAAATTGGGAAGGCGAAGAAATTGGTTCTACACGAAGTCCGTGTAAGTTAATTTCAACTGATCCATTTTTTGATCGAACTGAGACTTGTTATTTACTGGTCGAATAGAGGGAAAGAGAGACAAGGGAAAGCAATGCACGACATACCTGACGGGCTTAAGCAAGTGGATAACAGATCGGGGTCTGTGAGACATGGCAGAGAAACAAAACTTATTGAGAACCTACAAGAGATAGAGGGGAATGGAGAGTCATGATCGCCAACGTCCTGAAAGGTCACGGCACATAAAAAGAAAGATGACAAATGTGTCCTTTATGACAATCGTAAACGATCGGCTCAACGGCCGATCATGATGAAAAGACCCACACAATTTCCAAAACCGAAATTATAACAACTGAAGATAATAGTGACTTTCTAGAAAACCGCCATTGGCGTTTTCGATTATAGCTTTCTAGAATTTAACCGGAGAATCACTATCCAGGTTTATTGCCAGCAAGTGGGTGAAATGTATATTCAGTCTACCCAAATTAGAGTAACCACTAAAAATAACGTCTAAGTACTAAAATATATTTTATTATTTCTGTCGGTTTAATGCTTTGGTGCTCATCATCAGTGTTATTTTGAGCCGCAGATGTTAAGGGCGCTCGGGTTTTTCAACATCATGCCTCTTCTCTGCAGGAACCCTGTCGATTCTGATCAAATATCGACTTGTGTGCCATCCGTCCACTAAAACTGTTCTTCATAGTGTAAGACTTAACCCACTGCGACTCCTCAGGTCTTTATATTAATATATTATGTGAAGAAGAATTACACGTGACCACAGTCTTGGGGAACGCTATTCTAGAAGAATTTCCACCTTAGTGCCATTATGCTCCCTTGGCGAAAATAAGGTCCCAGTACCATCATGCTAGGTGTTACAACTGTGGTTTCTCTAGCAAAATGAAGTTGATTGATTAAGATCTTTGTTTAAATGCATATCAATATTTTATACATCATTTAATGCCATAATTTAATTTTCTTGGGAACATTGAAGTAATAAATATATGATATGTTATTCTACTTTCAGAGTTGAATACATGGCATTTTTATATATATACATGTTTGTATGGACAGACTGATTAGAGACGCTGATATGTGTTTTATGTTATAGTTTTGTGGAATTTGGAATAAAGAAACTACATGATATTATGTGGCAGCACGGTGGAGTAATGGATAGAGGCTCGAATTGAGGAATCGGAGAACCGAGTTCGAATTCCAGTCGAATCTATTATATTCATTTTACGTATCCTTGAGAAATTTATCCCATAAAATGATATAACTGGTTGTGAAACCTTTCAATTACCTCAGGTGTCATTTTTTTGTAATTCAGCGCAGGGACCTGAATTGCTGTCAGGTTATATGATTGCTCGGATTGAGGAATTGGAGAGCCGAGTTCGAATTCCAGTCGAATCCATTACATTCACTTACGTGCTAATACCCTTGCGAAAGGATATTAATCCTCTTCTTCCCCCAGCTATGGGTAAATAGCAGGACAGACCGTGTTCTATAGCCTTGGATGGCAACTGATCTACCACAGAAAGAAATGGAAACCTACTGCTGGAAAAAATCTGCCTCGTCAGTCATGTATCAAAAGATACATGATCGCTTAAGCGTGTATCACGCATGGCACATAATTGATGATATGATATTCATTAATGTCATGAAAGAATTCCTTCGTGTTAGTTTGTTTGCTTGATTGTGTTTAGCGGTATATCAACATTTCTATGGGTTATATAATGCGGAAATATAAATATTTTGAACGCAATTTTATGGCTTCAACTACAGACAAAAGGTAATGTTGGTCTTTTCGCTCTAAAAATGTATCAGACTTGTCATTCTCCTATACTAGTTGACGGCCAAAGTTAGGGAGCCTAATTTGCTTTGCTATTTAACCCATACCTGGGGAGAGAAGAGATGGATCTATATCTTTCAACAGACCAATACCACTTTCTGCACCAATAATCCACAGTTTTGGAGAAGAACCATAGGGAAGGCAAAATAAGACACTATTTTGACATGACATGAAATTAAGAAATATAAAATAATAATAATAATCTATGACCTTTAAGAATATCGTGGGCGGGGTTAGAGAGAAGAGGTTTATGGGAAACGAAAAATGCGCTTACACTTATATCAGAAAGAGACGTTTGACATTTCTTACAGACTTAATGAAGAATGATGGTTTGGTAAATGTAACACCCACAGGGCGTGTTGAAGGCAAGCGGGACACAGAGAAAGATCGAGTAACGTAATTAATAAGCTTCTGGGAATGTGTGGCAGAGCAGCGATTGGAGTTGTGCTTTACGGCTTATCAACCTTTTGCAGATTATTTAAAGTCAGAAAATGTTTTTAACCTGTAAGAATTTTTTTTAAACATAAAGATTTACTGATACAAGAATTTTGGCACGTAAGTATAACGAACCAGACTGGAATTCGAACTCGGTTCTCCGATATCCAAATCCGAGCCGTCATCCATTACACCACCCGCACATCCAAGCTTAGTAGCTGTCTATATTTCTGAGATGAGGTTTTATGTACATTATTTACATTATTCGGACTATTGTCCTCATCTGAATCCTTTATTTCGCTCGCTGGGGTAGACTGTTCTAGTTCTACGTGTCATGTCTTATGGATGTCGGTTATTAGTTAATTCCCCACTCCAAGTTCTCCACTGCCTTAACCAGCGAGTGAAATAAAGCTTCAGTTCGACAGTCCAACCACCTGAAGAAGGCCGGAGGGTACAACGGTCGAAACATTGTGATAAATATGGCAACAAAGATGAGGACAATAGTCCGAATAATGTAAATAGTGTACATCCAAGCTTATAGCATCTGGTATTTCCAAGTGGTCACCCATCTAGGTACTGTCCAGGCATGACGTTGCTTAACTTCAGTGATCATACGAGAACTAATGTTTCAATTGGATGTTGTTGTACTTGGCCATCTTTTTGAACTGCTTACGTAATGAGAATCTTCAGGGAGTTTAGTTTGTTGTGCATGTCATAAAATCCGGCATTCGTCTTTCGTTGTAAGTTCCGTTGGGAAATTAACACGACGCAATTGTCCTAAAAATGTCTGGTGCAAAGCTAGACATTTTTTTTTTCCTCTACGCGAATAGACGCACAGTATAAGTGACCCTCTCATGTTTAGAGACAAACGAGAAAGAGTGATATTTGAAGAGGAAGAAAATGTGACAAGTCTTCGAGACAAGAAATCCTTGGAGAATCCTGAAAAGGAATGGAATTCCGATAAAAGTATGAAGACCAAAAATAAAAATAATAAAAATAAAAATAATATATATAGAGAAAGCATGATTAAAATCTAGCACAGGCAGGGTTTCTATTTGGAGGGACCTTTGTGAATTTGGAATTTCTGAGGTTTTTGTCTGCATTTTTAGATGCGAACTCAGAATAATATTGTATCTGTAGTGTCCTAAATAGCTTCTTAAAAGCAAAACCAATAATAATAATATTTAGAGTGGATATGCTGAAGTAAAAATCATTGAATATGCTGATAAATAAACCAAGGCGAAATGTATAATAATATCAAAAATAATGCATAAGTCAAAAACTGATGTAATTAATAATAATAATAATAATAATAATAATAATAATAATAATAAGTTAGACATCGTGGTCAAAGACCACAAAACAGAATGCACTTTCTTATTGATATATCAGTTCCTGCAGACTGTAATGTATCTTTGAAGATCTTCAAAAAACTATCAGGATACTAGGTCAGTGAAATTGAAATCTCAAAAATGTAGCAGGTGGGGACATCAACAATTCCAGTTGCAATTGGAGCCCTCGCTTTGACTGGAAAAGATTCTGATTCTGACTCATTGAAGGGTTCCTTGGTGGCTCAAGCCTTAAAGAAATACCAAAAGTTGTACTAATAAATACAGCTCACATATTACGAAGAGTTTGTCTGATCTTAGGTTCTTTTTTTTAAAAAAATATTCAGTTGAAAATGTCTTGATGTCATTTCTGACCTTAGGTCTCGAGTTGGGATCTGAAAAAGAATGAGTATAGAGCAGAAATCAAAAGGAAATAATAATAATAATAATAATAATAATAATAATAATAATAAGAAGAAGAAGAAGAAGAAGAAGAAGAAGAAAAAGAAATACCAGAAATTGTTCTAAGAAATAAAAAAAAACATTGTTCTCACAATTAGAGCCCACAGCTTAAAAAGGGCTTTACCTATCCAAAATATGTACTATTTGTATTTGTTTTATTTTATTTGTATCTGTCTATATTTCTGAGATGAGGTATTATGTACACTATTTACATTATTTGGACTATTGTCCTCCTCTTTGTCAACATATTCATTACAATGTTTCGGCCTTTCAGTATCTGTCTATATTTCTGAGATGAGGTATTATGTACACTATTTACATTATTCGGACTATTGTCCTCATCTTTGTTGCCATATTTATCACAACATTTCGGCCCTTCAGTATCCGTCTATACTTCTGAGATTAGGTATTATGTACACTGTTTACATTATTCAGACTATTGTCCTTATCTTTGACGCCATATTTATTCCAACGTTTCGGCCGTTGTACGCTCCGGCCTTCTTCAGGTGGATGGAATGTTGAAATGAACCCTTTATTTCGCTGTTTCGACTGTTCTAGTTCCACGTTCCATGTTTAATTGGTGTCACTTATCACGTATCTCCTGTTAATTCCCTTCTCCAAGTTCTCCAGTGCCTTAATACCTAAACATTGTGATAAATATGTCAACAAAGATGAGGACAATAGTCCGAATAATGTAAATAGTGTTTATTTTATTTGTTTTTTTTTTTTTTTTTTTTCAAACTGCTCCATGGAAAATGTCATTGTGTCATTTCTGACCTTAGGTCTCTCGTCAGGATCCGGAAAGAAATGATTATACACCAGAAATGAAAGCCAATAATAATAATAATAATAATAATAATAATAATAGATATTGAAAAGAACGATGTGGCAGAGACATGTGAAAGAAGTGTGAAGTGATGATGCGACTGATGATGAATGACTATTGAAAGGAGTCTTGGCACATCGCTGACGTAGTTAGGTGCCTTGCTGTCACTTGATCTCTCTCGAAAAGTACTGCTATGAAATATGCATTCTTATTGTGTAATAAAAATTATCGAAAATCTGTTGCTAAAATCATCAGTAGAGAATGCTATATCTAGTATTCCCAGGAAAATCAGCGAAAGACATCACTAATGTGATATATGAAGTGGTATGAAATGTGACAAATCACCAAGACTGTAAATCCTTGGAGAATTCTGGAACGTAATTCTAATAAGTATATGAAGATAATAAAATTAGGAAAAAAAAGGACAGAAAAAACAGCTGGATATTAAACAATTAGCTGTGTATTTATTATATATAGAATATTATTATAAGTAACTTATAATAATAATAATAATAATAATAATAATAATAATAATCGCAGATATGATGAAGAAGATAAATAAATGAGTTAAGAGGAGATGAAATATATATAAAAATATATTGCTTAATTGTTTTTTTGGAAGGTTGGTTTTCTTTAGCGGTATAACATCACATCGAAATGATATTTAATGCTAAAATCTAAATATATTGAACGTAATTTTATGCTTTCAACTAAAAATATTTCATACATATTTTTTTTTATTTTAAGGGTGAAGGTATGTTTTTTTAGATATATATTTTGTAGATCATAAAATGTATTGTTTGTCTTTTTATTATAAAAATGTATTGTTGGTCATTTTACTATAAAATGTATTGTTGGTCATTTTGTTATAAAAATGAATTGTTGGTCAGATAATTATATAAATGTATTGTTGCTCATTTTATTATAAAAATGCATTACTGGTCATTTTGTCATAAAAATGTATTGTTGGTCATTTTATTATAAAAATGCATTACTGGTTATTTTATTATAAAAATGTATTGTTGGTCATTTTATTATAAAAAATGTATTGTTGGTCATTTTATTATAAAAAATGTATTGTTGATATTTGTTTTGTGGTTTACGATTTGCCCTTAGCTGAGAGCTTAACAGGTGCAAAAATCACGGGTCTAGACGTGGGAACAATAGCGTCTTGATTAGGGTGAAATTATTAATAATTAAAAAAAATGATATAGTGCTTAAATATTTTTAATATCAATCCTCGTTGCAGTGAAGGCTGGATAATATCTTCACAGATGAATGAGAGACTCAAGCCATAAGAAATGGAATTCTACAGAAGGATATTATACAGCTTTCACTACACATATATAATTCCATAACATATATAATTCTATCAACAAAAATATTATTTTAGTCAAATGAAGTCTTAAAGGACAATAGGCGTTACGCAATTTTTTCTATTTGTCATTCACTTGCCCAATATGGTCGAGTGATTAGAAGTTCGTTTTCTGAGATACGTGTTCGATTCTCACCATGGGCAATTTGTCAGGAAGTAGACTTCCTAATGTTATCGGTCTGGATAGGGAGGGGGAAATATTCCAGTGTGCGGCACCTTTGGAAAATGCCTCAAAACTATACCACGGATTTTACCCAAGCCTTGTGAATGAAATTGGGTAGGCGGAATACTTGGGGCCGTCGATAGACGTGGTAGCACGAAGTCGCAAGTCATCGTGACCGAAGGTTTGAGTGTGCTGGTCTTCAGATTGTTGAACATTCTAGATAACAGACTCTCTCCCAGAAACTGTAACTAACATCTGCTCAGCATAGTTGCTGTATAAACCACAGGTTGGTTCTGTGGGTGTTGAAAACACAAATGTGCCTGAGTGAGAGTCTGCAATAGGGATTGGCTAACCACCCTAAGAGACGGGTATCCTCGAAGAATACAAGTGGCCAGCTATTATTATTACGATGGCTCTTAAGTCTCCGATTTGTTAATTACATATATATATATATATATATATATATATATATATAATGAAGATTACTTAACTTTTAAACAACAACTTTTTGACGTTTACCCCGACTTCGAAGTTTATTGATAAATTCCGTTCATCAGAGGGTTCTGGTTTTGAATATTTCCATTTTCTTAAAAAAATTTCTTCCGCGTCTTTTTTAATCAGTTTTTTTACTCCATTTTCTACACATGCGCATTCATGAATTTAACTGTTTTTATCATACGCACGTTCATGAATTTTTGCTTATGTTGACATTTTCAGTTGTAGATTTTTCTTCAAGTTGTAAATTCTTTCGAAATTAAATTTTTCTTCTAATTCAAATTGATGATTTTACATGATTTACTAAGTTACATTATTATTAAAGTAACAAAGTAAATATTTGTTAATATGTCTCGGTGTAGTATCGGCCCATTATCTCATTCTTTTTATTTAATAATATAACTTGAAGAATGGACATTTACCATGAAACTTCGAAGTCGGGGAGTACAATAAAGAACTTGATATATATATATATATATATATATATATTATTCCAGAATCATTATCTATCTTCAAATTCAAAATGATCTTCGCCCTCTCTAACCTTCAAGCTTCTCTCCTGGAGTAACAATGTGCCTCAAAATTTTCACATACGGCTTCATTTTCAAATCTTTTTTCACTTGTCTTTGGACTGTCATAGCTGAAACTTCTCTCTCATGTGCCAAACGTCTTATGGATTTAGTTGTATCTTTTCTAATTGATCACTTTAGCTCTAAGTTGAAATGATGATCCCTCATCCTGTTGTGACCTCCTGATCCAGTTTTCTTCTCTACTCCACTCTCTTTTATACTTATTCACCGTTCTCTTGATAGTTCTTGAATGGACTTTGAAGGTGGGAGCGAGAGTATGAATGTTACTGAAGGCCTGAATGATCTTTTTCTTCTCACCATTGAGAAGACGTAGTGGGTCTGACACAAAACGATTTTACATTTTCTAGCTGAATAACCCAAGGGGCTATTCTTTATTGATTCTTACGACAAAT